TGCAGAGAGCTACCAGTATGCCCTGCAGTGAGACGCAATGGATCATTTTAGGCACCGAGTTGAGAAGCTCATGCGGCCCTCCCATGCTATCCCGCAAGGATCCCATAGGGTACTTTGTGCAGTTGGGATGCCAGTCGTACAACATGTAGACGATCCTGCTTTTCTGATGATACATGTCGTACTTAACTGGTAGATGAATATTTAGCGTCTGCCTGCGCACAGGAAATAGCTGCTTCATGTGTGATGTCTGAGGCTTTCCGGATGTCGCTATTTGCAGTTTGTCTCCATTGCTTCATCTTGAGCAGGCCAGCGTAGCAGGCCAGCATAGCTGCACCCTTCGGTCCAAACCAAGCCATGTCGAGTTCCCAGCAACTCCAAGAAGGCTCAAGGTCACCTATCGATATACATATATATATATATATGTATACACATACGTATATGTACATATAAAAAATAAATAAATACATAAATAAATGAATAATATATAGATATACACATATATATATACACATATACATATACATATGTATATGAATGCATAAATACATGAATATATGAATATATGAATATATTCATATATGAATATATGAATATATGAATATATGAATATATGAATATATGAATATATGAATATATGAATATATGAATATATGAATATATGAATATATGGATACATGAATATATGAATATATGAATATATGGATACATGGATATATGAATATATGGATATATGGATATATGAATATATGAATATATGAATATATGAATATATGAATATATGAATATATGAATATATTCATATGTGAATATATGAATATATGAATATATGAATATATGAATATATGAATATATGAATATATGAATATATGAATATATGAATATATGAATATATGGATACATGAATATATGAATATATGAATATATGGATACATGGATATATGAATATATGAATATATGAATATATGAATATATGAATATATGAACATATGAATATATGAACATATAAACATATGAATATATGAATATATGAATACATGAATATGTGCATATATACATATACATATATATATATATATAGGTACGCAGCTCAACGTTAACATGTGCTAACATGCAAGCTACGGCCAACAAGGGGTCCTGGCACAGTGGCCATGGCCGACGCAGATGGCGGACTGTCAGACGAGGCACTTGCAAAAGGACACCACAGGACATCGCGCTGGCTTGCGCTATCTTCATGCATCTGGCTTCCTGCATCTGGCTTCATGCATCTGGCTTCTGCAAATGCCTGCAATGCGTGCGTACCTGCGAAAGGCCCCGCCCGACGCGCATTCCAGCGCGCCCAGCTATTCATATGCACCCAGCGATGCTTCGCCAGGCCCTCCTTGGCACCGATCTTGCTCTCTTTTGCCCACTCCGTCTGGAGACGGTGAGTGCGCTTGCTGGACTCGCGAGCTTGCAGGTGCCAGCCCAGCTGCCAAAGTTGCAGATCTGCGGGCGATGATGGAGGAGAAGGCCTGGTACGGTGCTAGCACATAATGTTTTTTTTCATTGCGGCCGCGTTCCGCGACTGCAGGACGAGTACGCCCGAGTACGCCCGAGTACGCCCGAGTACGCCCGAGTACGCCCGAGTACGCCCGAGTACGCCCGAGTACGCCCGAGTGCGCCCGAGTACGCCCGAGTACGCCCGAGTACGCCCGAGTACGCCCGAGTACGCCCGAGTCATACCCGGTCATACCCGGTCATACCCGGGCATACCCGGGCATACCCGGGCATACCCGGGCATACCCGGGCATACCCGGGCATACCCGGTCATGCCCGGGCATACCCGGGCATACCCGGTCATCCGGGCATACCCGGTCATACCCGGTCATACCGTCCCGTGGTTTTCCGCAGTCGCGGTTTCCCGTCACAGTGTTTTCATTGCGGCCGCGTTCCGCGACTGCAGGACGAGTACGCCCGAGTACGCCCGAGTACGCCCGAGTACGCCCGAGTACGCCCGAGTACGCCCGAGTACGCCCGAGTACGCCCGAGTGCGCCCGAGTACGCCCGAGTACGCCCGAGTACGCCCGAGTACGCCCGAGTACGCCCGAGTACGCCCGAGTACGCCCGAGTCATACCCGGTCATACCCGGTCATACCCGGGCATACCCGGGCATACCCGGGCATACCCGGGCATACCCGGGCATACCCGGGCATACCCGGTCATGCCCGGGCATACCCGGGCATACCCGGTCATACCCGGGCATACCCGGTCATACCCGGTCATACCCGGTCATACCCGGTCATACCCGGTCATACCCGGTCATACCCGGTCATACCGTCCCGTGGTTTTCCGCAGTCGCGGTTTCCCGTCACAGTGTTTTCTTTACCTACTTTAGTGTCCGAACAGTCGAATCTGGTTGTTCTCTTTGAATGGTCTACGGGTTTCTGTTTGATTTTTCGAATCTTAGAAGGGACAGCGAGCCCGGCAATTGGTTCTAAAGCCGCGCTGCACGAAATGTCAATACGACACGGCTCAATAGAGGGCCCCACCGCGCACCAAACAGGCGGCCCCCGCTGAAGCATGCACAGCATTAGAACACCGGCTTTGCCAGGAGCCGAGTCTCGAAGTGCTTGAAGACATCTGGGAGAGGGCCCAGGCCGGGTTTCAGCAGAGCAGGTACACAAGGAGCGAGAGCCGATCGAGCACGCAGGAGACGTTGCTGCCTGGCAGTTTGGTTGCCAACCATGAGGTGCCCGCAAGGGTCTCTAGAAAAGGGCTGGTTTTGGTAGAAGGTGCCTCTTGAAGACTAACACTGGAACTCGTGAAGAGCTTCCAGGTTTTGCGGGAAGAGCCGATGGCTGAAGAATTTCGCTCCAGAGAAGGGGTTGAAATGTGCTTGTGGTGTTGGACTGCTGCTCTGCGAACTTGCTGAAACCTCTGCTTTCTTGCTTGATGTGCGTGTGTCGTTTGCAGGAAGTCGTTTGTTGCCAAGAATACACTGGAATGCCCTAGTCTTGGCGCCGCTCCTTGGTCTGGAAGCGCTTTGCCCTGTTCTTGCAGACCGCGCTGGACGCTGCCCGGTCTGGCGACTGGGCGTGGGGGCCTTGAGAAGCCAATACCATACATCTGGTGACCTTTGTTGAGTCCGTCGCATGTCGCAGCGCCGTTGAACATCGTAGGAGAACCTGTTGAGATGCAAGGCTCTGCATGTACCTGGCCGCTCGGTGCTGCAAGGCGCATCCAAGCGGAAAACGAGAGAAAAAGAGAGAGGATAGAGACGGACCGGCCATCGGTTTTTTGTTGGCCGTCTTTCTGTGCCTGCTCCTCCCGTGGTGAGGAGGACCCAGCCAAGCTGGCGGCGCAGGATGAGCGCTGCCACAGGACAGGTTCTGCCTCGGGATCCCAAGGGCAGTTCACGAGCTGCACCGGCAGAGTTTTGGGGCTTCTGCGGGCTTCTCCGGTCAAAGAACACGAAGACCGGCGAAGGACGCTCTGGATCGAGGTGGCTGCTCCCGTAGTTGTGGACATACCTCGTGGTCAGGCCTCCCGCTTTTGGGTCCCGAGGTCTTCGGCATGTCGCCAAGACTTCCCGAAGTCACTGAAGCTGTTTCAGGTTGCGGCTTCTGGCAACAAAGTGGGTGGTTCAAAGTTCAAAGGCTTCCAAATGTCGAAGCTCTTCAGGGTGAGCACTCCGGTGCGTATCTGTCTCTTTTACACGAGGCTGCTAGTGCAGCTCGCATACTCCTCATATCCTGGGATAATGTGTATGGATTCAAGTTTGTGTACATCAATCTTGCCAAGATGTTTGCCATTGACAGGAGCACCCTTCTAAATAGATCTAAATAGACTCTAGATGGGATGGCCGATCTAGGGATGCTTGAACTCTTGTGATCTGCGAGCGACACATCTCACCACTTCATAGGCGGTCTGCCAGCACTGCCCGGCAGGAGCGCTTATTGGTGATGCAGGATGGAGAGACAGAACCAGAGTGGGTGCCCACGGACAGGCCATCACAGCGCTCTGCACGTTTCGTTCCCAGTCATAGAGGTTCAAAGGTCCAGCCGTAGGTACTCAAAAGGGCGCGGGTGGGCTTGGAGAGAATATAAGATAACTCTGTACGGACACGAAGTTCAGAAACTGGAAAAGTGTGACTCGGCTGACTTCTTCCTTCAATTGTTCCTAGACCCAGGTTAGGAAGGTGATCCAAGGACTGGTTGCTGAGAGGTGAGAGTACCCTGATAGGTGGTGCTAAGCCGGGAGCTTTTCGTGACCTCAGCACCTCGCTCACCTGCGAGGTTTGTCTCGGAGATACAGCAGGATGGAGTGGCCTCGGCCCCTGCATTGTTCACCTTACGTTGTTTTGCGCACAGGGGGCGGAGACCATGATGATGAGGTCAGTGCGTGTTGTTTTGAATCCGGTACGCAGCTTGGCTGCTGTGATTCCAACCAGGCCGGTCCGTCCCCGCTGGCTCAAAGCTTCTCGATTTCTACGCTGCGATCCTCGCTGTTAGAAGCAAAGCTGCCGCAAAAAGTATCTCACTGCAGCATGGGGCTCGCCGGCTCCTCACCCAAAAATGCACAGGAGCGCCTCAGCTCAGCAGGACTCGCATTGTAAGGTTCACTGGGTCGGACGGCCTTTGGGTCTGTCACGGTTAAGTCGATGGCCCATATCTGGTGCTGCAAATACGGCTTGTCGTCGGCGTGTAAAGACACAGTTCAATGGCGTAGCTGAGCGGTTCGAATCATGAAATGACGCAGAGCCCTGGATTCAGCCGAAAGTTGACTGAGGCGTAGCCGGTCGGAGGACTCCACCATGGACTTAGAGGCGCTCGAATCGAGTGATTCTTGGAGACAACTGGGGACCTGTTTTCTGGGTGCTCGCCCCCTGCACCTGAGACTCATCACTTGCCCATTCTCGCATAGTTTGCATATCCACGGCCACGGCGACTGATTCCGAATCAGGCATCCGCGGGCCTGAGAATCTAGGCTACACATCTTTTGCCATCCTACACCTCTGGCCCATGTCAAGTGGTAAGGACGACACGGCTCTTGCCGAGGCCGGGGCAGATTTATGTAGAATGCCAAGAATGCCACTTCACACGGCACGTTGCGGAGCACCCGGGCTGCCCCTTCCGAACAAGACCCTCTCCTTGAAGAAAGAAGACGGCCGCCCGCTTGTGAGGTGGTACCGGCTGCGCAAGGCGAGGACGAGCCCGTGGCAACCGAGCGCCCGCAAGTCCGCTCCAAGGCAGCTTTCCGGTTCTAGTTAAGCAGAAATGGCCGCCTAAAGCATGCCAAAGTCCTAAACCACTAAACATCCACAAGCCCATCCTGAACCCTAAACCCCCGCCCTTTCTCGGCCTCTTGATCTCAGGCACAAAGTTGGGGGCTCCTGCCGGAAAGCCGCCTGGCCGAAGCGAAGGTCGGGAGAGCGGCAGCATCAAAAGGAGTGAGCCGAGGCCATCGAGGCATCACGGTCGAAGAGCTGTGGGACTTCTACAAGCCAGAGGCCGACTGGCTCGAAGATTCCAGGCTGGAATGGGAGATGTTGTGGAAGGGAAGGGATTCGGCGTTGAATGGTCGGCTTCTGAACCTCCCACCCTCCGCCCCTTGCTGCCTGATAGCTGTCGTGGCAGGTGGAGGTGCGGGATTTGCCACAAGCTTCATGGCAGCACTGAAGCGCTGGTGAGTTCCTTTGGCCTCGTTTGTAGGCTGCTCCTTCCTGCTGCATCGGTGAGTGTCACTGCACGGCTCAGAGGTCTTGCAGCTGTGAGGAATGTGTCGATCCCGAGCCGGGTGCTTGGTGTGGTTATGGTTCAGTCCATGGGGGTGCAAAGAAGATTCCCGAGCCCGTTCATGCCAGTGTCTGAGGTCAAGCCCGGCAAGCCCTCAAGAAACAGCTGAGCCGGTGGACGCTTCGATGGAGGTGGAGGAGGCAGCTGGCAACATGGCTCAGGCAGCTCAAGCAGCTGCTGCACAGATGGCGGAGCAGTCCGATCCTTAGCACAGTGCAACCCAGTCGAAGATATGGAAGCGCAGTTCTTGCTGGTGCCGAGTCAGACATCGCTCCGGCGCTCTTTGCTGAGGGTGGTCACGGGCATCGGCAAAGCAATGGCCGAGGAGAAGAGGGCTAAGCGCATCCGTCGCGCCCGACAAAAGCCACAGAGTCACAGCTGCTGCAGCCACTGTGGTGCGGAAGGCGGACCAGGCGCCCCAGAAGCGTTCAAGAAGCAAACGCAGAAGCCACATTGTGTTCGTGGTTCAGGACTAGAAGGCCGCACTGCAGTCTTGCTTGAAGGACGATGGGAGGAGCGGAACCTCTACGAGGTCGTTGCTGAAATGTGGCCTTGCAGCATATTAGCCTTCTCGTGAGCAAGTCCAAGCAATTAGTCGTCACGTCGGATTCTAGTTTTGCTGAGGGCATTTGCGGTTTTCTTGCGCAGCTGTTTTCCAAAGCCTGATGTGCTTGACGCGTCACACTGTTTCATGCCCTTTAACATGCCTGGCGCGGACTGAGGGTCATGCCCATTTGTGCGCAGCTTCGGGTGAGCTATGTGGAGCTTCTCCGACGCGGGCCCGAAGGTGAGTCGCCTGGGAGATGAATTGAGCCGCATGCCTGTGTGCAGCTGTCATTTGTACTTGTGGTTTTTGTGGCCTTCTCGAGGCGACGAGATGGAGGGCGTCCGGCCAGACACCTTTGTGTCCCATTGGTGGGGCGAGGACGTTGCAAATAGGATACTATAAAGTATAGTATACTATATCATATCATATCATATCACATCATATCATATCATATCATATCAGATCATATGAAATCACGGCAGATTCTACTTGATTATTGTCTGTTATATGATATTTTATTATGTTATATTGTACTGCAATAATATATTATAGCATGTTATATCATATTTCATGACATTATATTTTGTGTTATATACATTGTATATTAAATACTTTGTTCTTATAGATTATCGATTACATATTATGTATTACCCATTATCTGTTATCTATTACCCATTATCTATTATCTATTATCTTTGAACTACTAAGTATTATCTAGTATCAAGTATCTATTCTCCTTTATCTAGTATCTGTTATATGTTATATATTATGTGTTATATATGGTATATTTATTATTATATATCGTATATTGTGTATTGTATTCTATATATTATACATTATATATTGCGCATTATATAGTATAATTATATAGTATATATTATATATTATATATTATATATTATATTATATATATTATTATATATATTATTATATTATAATATTTATATTATATTATATATTATATATACATTATATTTTACATGATGTATTATATATTATGTATGATTATATTATATTTTGTATATATTTCATATATATTAGATTATATATTTTATATATTTATATATTGTATATTGTATATTTAATATATATATTATGTATTATATATATTATATATTATATATCTACATTATACATGATAATATATCATATATGATATATGATATATGGCATCGTGTATATTTTAAATTATGTGTATCATATGTTATGTATTATATATCATATATCATTCATCATATATGATATATGATATATGATATATGATATATGATATATGATACATTCTATAGTATATATTATATATTATATATTATATAATATAAATTATATATTTTATGTTGAAATATTTTTATATCATTATTCATTTTTCTGTATACTATGTGTTGTTTACTGTATATTATATATATATGGTATATAATAGCACGCCATGTTATTCTATGTTATACTATGTTATATTATGTTATACTATGTTATATTATGTCATATTATGTTATATTATGTTATATGATGTTATATTATGTTATATTTTATTTTTCCAAAAAATGATAGATCTGTAGGGTTTAGGGATTGTTTGGGGGTTACAGCGCAGAACCAAAAATGTGTGTTGTGATCCCCCTCTGTCAGGACCATGCGGCTGTTGCTTCGAACCCCCCACATAAGAATTGAGAGCTCACCCATGCCAGCGGCCAGCGGCGGAGGAGTTCCCGAAGTTCATGCGCACGCTCACCAGGTTTGCAGCTGCCTGCCTCCACTGGGAGAGTTCGGAGCTTGCCGCTTTTCACCTACGTGCACCCAAAAATCACCTAACTAACGCCACCTGAAATCACCTGAAACTGACTTAAAATCCTATAAACTCCTGAACCTCCCGAAAGCCCAAAACACGTTTTTAGCTCTTTGTGTTTTCGCGTAATTCCTTCCTCAGGAAGCCCGAAGCCGCCGACTGCCCTGGACCATGTGCCACACCCCGTATCGAAACCCGCGAACATGGGCTTTCTGGTGTCTTGGCGCCCAAAACACTTTTTCTATACTATACTATATTAGATTATACTATACTATACTATACTACGCTATACTATACTGTACTATACTACACTATACTATACTATACTACACTATACTACACTATACTATACTATACCTATATTATACTCGTGCAAGTCACGGCAGTTGTCACTGCAAGGATCTGCGCGTTTGCCAACAATCAGTATGCCATCGAGCATGCCCTGGGCGACTTCAGGCTCGACCGCATGACAGCTCAGGCTATTCGGTGCAGCCAAAGTTGCCTTTGTGTCCCATCCTTGGGTAGTGGGGGTGGGGACAAGGACCACTTAACTGGATGTTAGGGGTTGTGCCCTGCAAGGGCACATTCTGTCGCGCTGTGTACATGTGCATGCAGCAGTCTTATGTGCTTGACCTGCGCCGCTGGCGAGTAGCAGCGCGACACCGCGGACCGCGGTGATGACATCCGCGTTTGCCACTGCTTTAGAACCTCGGCACCATTCATGGTTCTGCATGGGATGAGTCCACGCCGAAAATGCACCGCTTCAAGCACAGGGCTACACAGCTAAGCCAGGTTCAGTCACCGTTTTTAATGGGGCCCTTCACGGGCTTCGGCTACCACAGTACTTGTAGCATGGCTTTCGCTGACTCATGAAAGTGAAGTCAAACATTGAACTAGGAGTGGAGCTTGCGACCTGCTTGCGACTTGCCTGCGACCTGCCAGCTCCAGGATGCTGTCACTGATGTCGTGGCTGTGCTGGACGATCGCGCGATCATCTACACCAGGCTTCTTGGAGAAAAAAACTGGTAATCCACATACGAAAGCCTATTGCTTCAACCTTTTTCTTCTCCTTGGTGCTGTGGCTTGTGACAGTTGACCTTTCTGGTGTGGCCTGTGGTTCGGCTTTGAGGGAGAAGGACTGTGATTTCAATACCAAGGATCTGGTGCTGCTTCGAGTTGTTCTCCGTTGCGCGCTTGATGCCACAGCGAATCTTGGGTGCATTGCTGCCCAATGCCCTGCAGTGTCAAGATGACCGGAACTTGCTGCATATCTGGGGCCTGGGGGTGGCTTGGGGCCATGCAATGTGTAATTGCATGTAATTGCACCTATGTCTAGGCAGAGGCAAGGAGCTCGAGATCTTCATCGCCGATGAGTCAGGGGCGTCTCAGCTGCGTGGCCATGTTGAACGCTCATCAGACTTTCGGGCTGCTACAACCCGACGCTTGTGGAATGTGGCTGTTTTAGGGATGCAGTGGGGCATCGCGGTGGGACGGGAAAGGGGGACTGGCCAACCCGCAAGTATGTACTTCAGCCATCCCCACCCTACGTACAGCTGCGAGCCACTCCGGGATACTCACGGCTTTTCTGGGGGTGAGCACTCCAGGGATACTCGCGAGTCTCTGCGGGTGCTCGGCGGGACTCTTTGGGGCTTCTCTGGAGGCACTCCAGTGCAGAAAAATCAGGATACTCGGCGGGAGTCTCTGTGGACATCATAGCCATAGACCACGTGGGCACTCCAGTGATGCTCGCAGGACTCTGTACGGGCTTCTTTAGGGGGCACTTCAGGGATGCTCTTTGGGACTCTCTAAGGGCTCCTCTGCAGGTGGACTCTCTGCGGGCTTGTCTGGCAAGGGCAGTGTAGGAGTCACACCGGGCGAGGAGGCGAGGCGCATGGTTGACTTAACATCGAGCATCCCCACACACAACGTCACAAAACCGAGGGTGGGACAGGAGATGTCGGGTGGAGGGCACTGCGTTGTATGGAGCACAGGCTCCAGCTGTGGCACTTGCACGCGTACCTGATTGCAACAAGCACACACTGAACAAGATCAACACACCCGCCATATTCACCATCACAACCACACCAACCACCGTTCAGGTGGTCAGTTCCGGCTGTGGGGATGTTTGGATGATGAATTCGCTGATCGACAAGGTGGCTTGACGCTTCGTTTCAGTGCTTGGCTTGGGAAAGCTCGGGCCAGTTATGGCATTCACTGCGATATCCATGTTGGCGTGCGTAGGCTCCACAGCTGTTCGGGTACTTCTAATCCTGCAGGGAGGCAAATCAAAAACCAGCTGATCCTGACCCGCATTGCACCCCCCAATCGGTCCCTCCAGATGCCCAATCATGAATTGCCTACGCTTGACGCTTGCCTGCTGCGGTTGGAGGTCAAAACGGCGGAGGCAGAGGCGTCGAATCCTGATGACAAGGTGCGAATCCATCCAACATCTCAGCATACTGTGTGCGAGGCAGGTTTAAGACCCGTAGAACTACGCGACGGCTGAACACAAGCAGCAGCCAAGTTACATTGAGAGGTTTGCATACCAGCAGCAGATTGCTGTCAGGCCATGATCGAATCTGCCATGCTTGCAGATGGTACCACCTCTGAGGCAAGCCTGCCGAGTCGCGTCTTCGAAACATCAACGGCTGCGAATAAGATCTGTCAAAACTTTGGCGGACTTTCAAGCTTCGGCGAATCGCAAGAAGGGCCATAGTTTGTGACATTTTCTCCTGGTGCGCCCCGGGGTAGGCATACTCAGACTCTTTAGTACCGTTTTGCCCGATAGGAGCTGGATAGTGTGCTCCAGATGCTGGCTTCCACGGGCATGGCGGCAGCCCACCACCGGAAACTCGGCCCAAGTCCCCCTTCAGGAATCCAGCTTCGAAGGCTGTAGTTGTGCTGATGATGACAACCTGTTTCAGATACTCAGGAGGTGCATGGAGATCTGCGCAATGGCTCGCTAGCTGCAAGAGATGGCTTGCTTTCAGGGATATTCAGGACCTGGGATGCTCTGGCGTCAGTGGTTTGTGGCACGGGCAGCGGTGCGTGGGTGGGGGGGGGGCGGGGGTGGGAATACTTGGAGATGAGCTTGGTGATGTTTCGGATTCACCGAAGCAATGTCTTCACTGCGGAGGACACCAGCAAGTAGGGTGGATTGTACATGTTCAATGCTGCTGGCCCGACCCATCACGAATCTCCTGAAATTTTACTTCTGTGCTGCGGCAGGTGGTGATTCTCGAGCTTTGGCTGCCCTTGGGGAGGAAGATGTCAGGGCCACCGGTGCAGCGGTTCCGTTCTTGCTAGGGCACCTTAACACCTTGATCTGAACAAGACAAGTGCTCTTCTTGGTTGAGTTAGAGACCTCAAGACTCGGGACTATCAGAAGCAACGATGCGTTGAAATTTGGCCTTCCGACATCCTCTTCACTTCAGGATGTTGCGACCACAAACACCGTGGGGACCACCCTGAGCATCCTGAACCAGAGAGCCAACGTCGAGGTAGGGGGGGAGAGACGCTTACAAGATCTTACAAGATTGAAGGGTCTTGAGACCGAGCGCATTGGGAGGCGCTTCTGGGCTTTTCGCCGAAGGCCAGAGACACGGAAACACTGCATGTTTAAGCAGGCGGTGCGTCTACAGTAAGATGACAAGCGCACGAATATGGAGCGCAGACCTTTTCTGCACGCTTTCACTCTTTTGCGGTGGGAAGGGTGTGGGTCCGTCGCCGGGTTGATGCACTGAAGCATGTGGTGCGAGGTTTTGTGTCTCGGCTTATCACACGGGCTGCTGCTTGTCCTGGGCCTCCTCTTCCTGCGCTGCGGCCGCATTGCATGAATGCTAAAGACAGTCATGGTAAATGTTTCTCAAAGAATATATCCGAGTCAGGAAGGCAAATGCTGTTTTGCGCTGAGCTAATTTGGGGTTATGTTATGTGTTCATTCGGGGTGTCTGACGGTGTCTGTTTGTCAGGGTGTGCACCATGCAAGCTCCGGCACCGAGGATCCGTGCGGAGCTGCTTGCTTGCCGCCTTGGCCAACGGAGTCATCGCCTTGTTCGAGCGACGGCCCCAGCAGCGAATCTTTTTCTTCAGTTTTGCAACCTCGTTGGGAATAGTAATTGAGGTGAACCACCGCTTGGCCGTGGTTTGCGTCCTGTTCAGCTTGGTGCTGAGACGAATCTGTCCGGAACAGTTTAACGTTTGCCCTTTTTGAACTTGTGTGACTTCCCGTCGCATCCTGTCGCCTAATTCCGTACCCCTGTCAATGCTCTACCGAGGTCTGAAGGTGTTTATTGTTGTCGGATTTGCCACCATTGCTGGAGACTGGGCCGGGGTTTGCGTCTCATTGTACCTCTTTGGTCTTATTGTGCCTTGGCCGAGCTACAGACATATTGACGACTTGCACAAGCCACGTGGCCTGAAGCATATAAAGCAGCAGCTGCACCCTAAAACCATCTTCTTCTTGAAGGTGCTCACGTTGGCGGGGCGCCACCCGCTGCGCAGGTTCTTGGATCCTGTGCCCCGGCAAATTTCCCAGCTGCAGCTTCGGCTTTGGGAGCCTCCAGGGTGGGGGTTTCCGAAATTGGGGGGTTGCCTTGTTGGGGTCCTTATTATAAGGGAATCCTACTATTTGGAGGACTATATCAGTGGTCACTTATTTTCGTACACTCCAAGTGACTCAAAACTGATTACCGAGAGTGAATTTCAAGAGGTCCTGTTTCTATTGGCAAAGGCGGTGCACGCAGCTCAGGTGTTCATGTAAGGTGAGATGTGAGGGGCCGGAGCCACTTCACGTGAATAGGCATCGGCTCTTCCCATTGATGCCGGATTCTTTTGTCCTGTGCCACAGCATGATGATGTCCCACGGTTCTTTTCGGGCTTGCTGACGGCTTCGTAACGAGAGGGGAAGCAGACCACTGCTTGGCTCCTCAGATTCCGCATGATTCTGTGCGACATACGGATGAAAGACCATGAATTCTGCAACGCATGGCTTTGTGCTGGGCATCTCTTCCCCTTTGGCGTCAGCAAGCCGCCAGAACGTGTTTGGACGTGATCTTCCGAGGTCTCAGGGGTCCTCGCGCCTTTCAGTTGCTGGGAAAGGCAAGCTGCACAGTTCGCTGAGTGCGCGGAGCGCGCAGGGCATTCCAGCTCGCACCTTCCCCTCTCGAGGACCCCCGTGAGGCATGTACACTTTGTTTCTAGCTTGTGCCAGGCAGAGCCGGCACCAGTGAAGTTCTAGGATTCTAGACCCTTAGGCAGCCTGTGCGGTCGTTCGGACGACTCTTTGTGACAGTTGAGGCCCGTCAATTTAGTCGGAGCTCCTGCACTTGCTCCGTTCCTCGGCTTTGTCAACCTGCAGGAGACAATTTTGTCAAGAGCCGACACAAGCTTGGCTCCTGAACACATGCTGCAACAGTCCGGCCAATGTGAGGACGGTTCGCAGAAGTGCGTGCAGTTTGAGAGCTAGCCACATGCCGCAGAACATCCTGACGTCATCTGAATCATCTGACATCTGAACGATTTGGTGCGCGAGGACTGTCATCCAGCTTGTCGGATAGGTCTGACGGATCCGCATCAGAGGCTTCATGATCTTCATTGCAACAGGCATTGCAACAGGCATTGCAGATGCCGCCGCATGTCCCCCCCCCCGCATGTGCCGCTGCGTTTGCCGCAGGAGTTTGCAAAAAAAGACATGAAGTGAATTTAACGCCCTCGTCTATTTGAGCTGCAACTTGATGCTCAGATCGGCCGTCGAATCCATCAAGCGCTGAGGGTCTTCATGTGTGCCAATGTATCCAAGGTCTGGATGCGGGACAGCCAATATGGCAAGTACCGCAGAGGCCGCCTGGTGAAGAAGGCGCATTCATGACTGGAAGCACGTGGGGGGGGAGAACGGGAGAGAGTTCAAAATCCGAGAAAAAGGCCGCGCGCTGTCCGAAGTGCGGCGCCTATGATGCCAGCCTCCAGCGCTCCTGCCGCCACTGCGGGCATCCGACGAAGGAGGCGTGGGTGACTTTCGAGGGGGTTCATGTCGTTCGGTCGCACAAGGAATTTATCGGAGCATGCGCGGGATGGCTTGACATGTGCTTTGAAACGGCCAGCAAGCAGCCATCGTCCTGCGCCTGACAGGTCGTGGCCAGGACTGGCTGCCACGGCCCTGGCTCGTCCTGCCATCAGGGGCTTGCTTAACTTCTGCAATCAAAGGGTTGAGGCGTTTATGAAGAGTCCGCAAGCCATACCCACTTCTCGTCCCCTCGATCTAGGCCCCTAGGCATTGTTCGACTCGAGATATCGTCGCGCAGGGGCCCAGCACCTGGTGCCGGGGGAGACTGTGGAGCTTTCGCAGTTCCAGTGGCGGCGGCCGCAGCGGCTCAGGCATCTCAGGGCTGGAGAAGCTGACGTGGTCGAATATGGTCATCTCATGCTTGTGCAAGCGCTGGTCAATTAGGAGCTCTTGGATGTTGGATGATGTCGGCTGATCTTGGTCCGTCCGCCCCGTGCAGCTCAATGCTGGCACGTCCCCGTGACCGAAGTGGATGCAAGTGGAAGCCACGGCAGTAAGCCACATGTAGGCCGCTGCCACCCTCAAGGGCACACGCAAGCGAAGCCATCATAGCCCAAGCCCTGTCCCCCCGGAGACGTGGTTCGGTTTTGAGGGGCATGGGTGAGAGAGGTGTATGCAGTTGGATGTTGTCTGTGACGGGGGCGCGGCCGTTAGTGTAGCCGAGCATCCCAGCAGGCGGCTGCAGCTGAGCGACGAGGCCCAGCCTCAGCCCCAGAGAGTCCCGCTTCGTGGTACCAGGAGAAGAAACACCATTGAAGTGGCGAGGTCCATATGATCATTCAAATCTTGTCCCATCTTGTCCCCAACAGTGCCCCAAAACTCTTCCAAGATTGGCCTTGCGGCGACTGCTGGCCATGGCCCCAGATGGCCCAAGAAAAAGCTCCCCCCAAAACATGCGCGACCCCCCGAAGTCACAAGCACAAGCCGCTCTGATGAGGTGGAGCGTCGCTTAGAAACGGCTCAGGAGGCTCATGAACTGGGGCTGCAGCTCTTGGAATGCGTGCTGAGAAGGTTTCCGCAGCGCAGCTTCTGTAGTTCTTTCCCTGTAGGGGCTTGCTATTGCAGTGTGCAGGGAGAGCAGAGTGAGTGGTTGACCTCGCAAGTGCGGGCTGCTCAGTTTTGGCTCCTCTTGACAACTAGTTAGCTTAAGAACCCTTCCAGACAAGAAAAAAAACATATTACCCTTACAAGGAAGTTTTTTTGGGGTGGTTCTGAAGCAAATAGTAGTTGAAGCGCCTGCAATGCATACATGGTGTTTTTGTCATGCAACCTTGGCCTTTGATTGCGAAGTTCTCACTGTGGTCTTAGGAAGCATATACGAAGGTTAAGCCCTGGCCACTAACGACCTGCAACCCTGCAATCACTGCGTACCCCCAGGCTAACCGCACCGGTGTCGGGAGCATGGTTTCATGCCAGGAGCCAATCTGTTGGCCAAGTTGCGCAGCCAACAACCCCCCCCCCCCTCCCACAACCCCGCCCGGCTCCACCCCATCCCTCCAGCATTGCCAACACAGAGGGCGGCGGAGCTCAGGTCTTGGCGTATCCGCTTCTCGGAGATGTCACAAAGGCTGCGCATGTTGAAGCTAGGTTCCTGACATGACTCCGAAACACCCGTGCACATGACATGGAGGTGCTTTTGCGGCCTGTGCTGAAATGCTGGGCCGGGCCGCCTGTTCATTGATGGGAGGATTTTCCCACTCCCTTGCCAGGTTGTTGTCACTCGTCAGTCGTGGTGGTGCTGCCATTCTAGAACCCAGTCGTTCTCAAACCCATCTAGCTTCTAGATACCAGCATCTTGCTCGACTCAGACTGCTGCGCAGCGGGAGAGCGTGGCGCGGGCATCGCGATTGCAGTGACCCTCAGATGGGACACAAGGGGATTGGAGATGGGCGAAATTAAGCGAAGCCAAGGCTTGGGGAGACTCTCCTGTCGCAGTGTGCAAAAGCCGGCCCGAGACCTGCCAGGGAGACTGAATGTGGCAGTGCATTTGAAGTTCCTTGCTACGGCTAAGGTCAGTGGAAGATGGTGGAGGCTCTAGACATGGGATAGGGGCGCGGAAGTCACCCCAGAAGCCCGAACCCTGAAGCGGAACGCTTCAAGCCTCCCTGGCCCTCCACGACGTGCCCTTTGCTGGAGGTGCTCGTAAGACATGGCGGTGGCCCCAGCACTTTGGAGTCCGGAAGGCGAGTAGGGTGTTTTACTTTATCTTTGTGGCTTGACAAGCGACTGCAGGAATGCAAAATATTGTCGGACATCCCCACCCTAGAGATTTGGAATGTGTGGGCTATCGAAATAGGAATTTTCTGGGGAGACTCTTCCAGGGATTCTTTGGGCATACTCTGGAGTTGGGCACTCCAGACATTTTCTGGATATACTGGAGCTGGGCAATGCGGGGATACTCGTTGAGCACTCCAGGGATCTTGTGGGGACTCTGGCGTGGGGATTCGGGAGATGAGGGAGGAGTAGACCTGGAGAGGGGAAGAGTGTAACATCTAACAACCCCCCCCCGCCCCCCCTGAGGGTGGGGCAAAAGCGTGTCACGGAATCTTACCAAGATGTCCGCCAGACACCCAGGTGTGCCTCTGCCCGACCTGAGCCGCGAGTTTAGCCAGGTTTGTGGCCCATCGGCTGGGGACTTAGACCCGGATGTGGGTCGAATTGTAGACAGCTGGATTTTCGAGCCCACGCCCGACTGGTTTCTGGCTGCCAGTCTCCCCTACTAGCTCCAGGTGCCCTGCCAAAGGCAATGGCACAAAGATTGGCGGCAAGCGCTAGGCCCACCTTTGATTGAGATGCAAGAGCATCAGGTTGCGGGTCGGGAAAAATGGGGGCTGAGCCGGGTGTGTTCAGGTTCCCATGGCCCGACACCCATCCTCGAGCTGGCAGCGGCCAGTAAGGTGCCGGGGTTTGGGGGACTTGGGGGACTTGGGGAGCGGCCTTTTCTCATGCTTATCTCGTGAAACTAAAAATTGTTCTGTCCCTGCAGGATGGGCCCAAGATTCTGGAGGACCTGTCGCGGGCTCTGTATTTCTCTGTATGCACCAGGCTTCTGATGTCTTAAGCAAACCATGCCTTCTGTGGTGTTAAGGTTGCGTGAGGCGTTCGCCTCAGTTTCAAAACATCCAACCCATCGTGAATTTCACAAGCCGTGCGCGGTGCAGTGTGAAGTGTTGGGGCATCACTCGAAGGCATCAGATCAACACCGAGACAAAGGTGAGGGCAGACGTGAAGAGTGGGGGCTTGTGCTGTTTTCAAGGCGGCTGTGGTTGTGTATGGCTGTGCACTTGCCAAACTGAGCGCAGGCTACACGGGCCCCCTCCGTTTGACGGATCTGCTGGGAGGCCCTTCTCACCGGTTCTTTTTGATATATGTTACGACGCGCTAGCACATGTTGGCAAAAGAGTTGCATCTCTGAGCTGAAGATCATTTCTTGAGCGACCTTTGCTGTTGCCAGGCCCTGGTGGGCATCCGCAGCCGCTGCTGCTGCGCGCGGCCGAGGCTCCCTGATGGCTCTGTCGTGTGCGCACACGTGCTTCAAATCACGGGAATCTCCATAACGAAGGCTGGAGGACTTGATTGATACTAGTACTTGCTGGTGTCGTCTTGCACAGATTTTTAGCTGGAACATGGTAGAACGATGCTTCAAGGCCTTTGCTACAGGTAGCCAGGTCTCCTCTGCACCAGCAGTCTGCTTCTCAATGCCAGGCGAAGCGCCGTGACCTTTGACTTTACAGCTGAAGCATGCTGAAGCAAGATCGAACCCAGGTGCAACAGCATTGCAATGCAGAGCTGCATCGGTTGGTTTGGAGGTGCTAACGACCAGGACTAGATGTGCAGGCCAAGTTACGCAGCTGATGCCTTTGTGTCCTGACAGCACCGGATGACAGCCAAGGCTGGAACGTGGTGAACGTTCTGCTAACAAGCTCAGGCATGGACTCGAGCGATGGCATGATAGATATGAACAATGAACACCCGCTGCTCGCACTGCTTTAGTTGCGCGACAACTGCAAGTCTCAGCCTTTTCCATCTTTGGCTGCGCAGTACCTGTGGCTGCTGCAACGCTGCTGTCTTCTCCGCATGTGGCGACTTGCCCCAATGCACTGGTGTGGGACTGAGAGATCGCTCAAGAGCCACTTGTCTCGTTGACCACTGTCTGACACATGTGTGACATCTTGAGCATGCATTGTGCATGGCTTTGCGAGCTTTTCTTTCCCAATTCGATTGCGCAGTGAGCCATTGTTTGCATGCTGTCATAGAGTCTTAGAGAGTGGTGCTGAAAGATGAGGTTGATCTTGCAGAGGAGAGGGCTTTAGAGGCGCACGCGGAGGATTGAGAAATATGCAGCCTGGCACGAGATCGAGCGTGATGGAGTAGCGATGAAGGCTCATGTTAGGTGTTCGAGCGTGACGTAGTGTGGGCGTGCCAAACCCTGCCAGGAGGGCTCACCGCTCTTCACATTGACTGGCCATCCAGAGGCTCTGCGCTCGACGCAAATTCGATCAAGTGCGGACACCGTCCATCGGAGCCCGACACCCACCAGCTTTGGCCGCTTGCATGAACTTGCCTTGGCAGGAGGACCCTCTTTCTGGTTTTTTCCGCTACCGGCATGCCAGCGTGGTCGAGGGCTGAGCCTGGCAGCTACAATCCGGGTCTTCTCTGTCTGACACACTTTGCTCGCTTCACTTTGCTGTCTGGCCGCACTCTCACACTTCATTCTCTCTTCTGCACCTGCATCAGCAGACGGTTTTCGTCGAATTTCTGAACCGCTTCGCAGGTGCTTCTGAACAAGGAGGTTCCGGCGGGCTACAGGCGAATGTCAACCTCATCAGGCATCACTGCCGGGTTTTGAAAAGTTGCTAATTCTCCACAAATGTCAGACATGCGGCTCTACATTTCATCCGGACCCCTGCAGGTGGCTCGTACTTGGAGCAGGCCCTCAGCCGAATGAGGGGTTGTTCAGGTCTTCGGGGCTTCGGGGTGCTTGATAAGGATCGGCTTTTTTTTAACATGTTTCGGGTCGAGCCAGTTTCTGGAGATGGATTGGATCACCACGTGCAAGCACAGGTAGGCATCACATGGCATCATTGAAGTGGCGAGACTGGACACCGGTACCCTAAACTCTGAACCCTGAATCCTGAAACTGTGCCTGCAAAGCGCCAGGATGATGAATCCGTCCGCGTGGCGTGCCCAGGAGTGGCTGCAGAAGCAGCCTGGGTCCATCACTAGGTCATGAGGTCATCAGGCTTTCTGCATCACTTGGCCCTCCTGAATGCAAAGGTCTGGGATGAGTTGCTCCAGATTGGGGTGCAAGGAGGCAAGAGTATCTCGCATCCCAGATATTTGGGCCGCAGTTGCAGCATCATGCACCTATCCACACAGGGCAGTGCCAGCCCTCTGCACGGCACTGAGTTTTACCATTGCCAACACCCTCGTGCACACACACACATGTTTTGTAAGAGCTGCTTCACTTCGTAGACCTCGGACCTTCTCTCCCGCGGAACACGTGACATTTGGAGATTTCAGGCAGAAGTGGCATTTGTGAAACTGGAAAGGGGCGAGCCCGAGCCTTGTCAATTTGCGTTGTGCTGGGTCTTGGTTGGGGACATGGCTGCTATGCCCTCGCGCTCGACACAAGATGTGAGTTTTCACCAATTGGGGTTCAGGTGGGACGAACTCCAAGAAACCGAGAAGGCTGTATTGCGCGGGGCTTGGCTTCGTTTCTTGGAACGGCACCATGGCTTGGCAACACCCGACCTCTCGCAAAAGCTAAGTTGGTAAGCAGCAGAGTGGGTTTCTCCAGGGCTTACGACAACTTTGAGAAAGAGCGCAGCTGCAAATTCCACGTTGTAGAACTAGTTGTTCGTGCCTATATTGGTCGATGAGACGTTAGCGGATTTGCGTGAGTGTGTGGCACAGAGGTGAAGGTTGTAGGGCAGAACATGTGTAAAAGCTGGGCTGGTCCATGAAGAGTTCTCTTCATAGCTCTCTTCGCACGATGCACCGAGGTCGCTTAGCCTCTGCAGCCGCGTCCTGAGAAGGGCCGACTCGATTTCGCTCTTCAGAGCAGCCAACGAAGCCTTCACCCCCGAAAGGTCGACATCCTTCAAGATCTAAAGAATCTAGAATGTTTCTCCGGAACCTTGAGGTGATGAACCCTGAAGGCCTCAAGGCTCAGAAGGAACAAGGATGCAAAGGAGCACCACCACACCCCCCCCCCCCCGGAAGCAGGAATTGTGGGTTTTTGATTACTCCACCGGGTGATGACTGACTCCTTGTGAGCATACCGTGGAACTGTGGAAGCGAGCATCAGGCCGGACAGCAGCCAAGAAGCCAGATGCTAAGGCTGGTCAAGCAAGTTCCCAGGCTGTGACACGTAACTTCACAAGGCTTGGAAATCCCAAAAAAGAACAGCGGCAGGGGGCTCAAAACTGCTTTACAGACTTTGCTCCTTATTCTTTGGAAGGCGGGCGACTCAAACAAAATGTTTTGTGGCCACCTTGTATTGCTTGTGGTTCCACATGCCCATGAGTAGACATGCGTATTCCGCAAGGACACGCTGCCTTTGTGAAACTGCTGGGACACTTGTGGTTTGCCAAGCTCGGCACCCCGAAATGCCGTAGTTGGGCCGTGAGGTCTTATGATTCAAGGAATGCAAACGCTAGCTTTTACCTCGTTCTCAAGTTCCGAAGTGCAATCCCATCATAGCCAACAGGTGGGCAGCTGCTGGCTTGCGGTGCTGTGTCCCAGCAGCTATCTTCAGGCGGGGCGGAACATGCCTGACGCGTTCATGGAGTCTTCATGGGATCCTGGTCCAGGCTTCCAAAGAGGGCCTCCTACTGGCCTGCTGCTTGGGAGAGCTTTGGAAGTGGTTCCCATGGGCTTCTGCAGCATGCCAAAGATGTCGCTGCATGTCGCTGCATGTCGCTGCATGTCGCTGCCAGTATCTGCCAGTCAAAGCTACTAACGTCCCAAGCCCCCGCACCTGCAGTCCCTCCTTGAGGTGCCGCCTCAGCGCATCCCGACGCCCTGCTATGTGCCGAGCGTGAAGCTACGTGCGGAGCTCTTCCGTCTTTGTTTTGATTGGACGGCTGCCGCCAGTGTGCCGCTCTGCCGGTAGCAACCTCTTAGGAGAGCTGCTTCCAGAGAATAACATTTTGTGGCGTCGTGATCGAAACCTGTGCTTGCCGACGCCCCTCCCCTTTTCATCACGAGCATCACATCACCTGGCAATGCCTACACGACCGGATCTACTCAATTGTCAGATGTGCGGGGATGCTTTTTCTCCTTTCTCTCCCATCAATCGACCCAATTCCCGTCAAAGTCGAACCTATCGGAGACCCAGCTCTCTCCTTCTCCATCTTTCTTCGTGTTCCCCTCAGAGTGCTTGAGGGCTTGCCTCTCTGTCTCTCTCGCTCTCTCTCTCTCTCTCTCGCTCTCTCTCTCTCTCTCTCTCTCTCGCTGTCTGTCTGTCTGTCTATCAATCTGTCTGTCTCTCTCTGTCTCTCTCTGTCTCTCTCTGTCTCTCTCTGTCTCTCTCTGTCTCTCTCTGTCTCTCTCTGTCTCTCTCTGTCTCTCTCTGTCTCTCTCTGTCTCTCTCTGTCTCTCTCTGTCTCTCTCTGTCTCTCTCTGTCTCTCTCTGTCTCTCTCTGTCTCTCTCTGTCTCTCTCTGTCTCTCTCTGTCTCTCTCTGTCTCTCTCTGTCTCTCTCTGTCTGTCTCTCTCCTTCCCTCCCTCATGCAGTCATGCAGAGGCGACAGTAGCCTTAGAATCTTCGCAAGGGACACTTGGCACTGCCCCTCCGGCTCTGTGCGCCGCAGCACATGGTGTGAGAAGATTCCGCTTTCTTCATGCCCGGCAGAAGAGCAATCTTTATGGAGCAGGTGGAGACAGAAAAGGGCGACAAACATTGCATGATCTCCTTGTGACAGTGGTCGAGAATCAAAGGCGGGCCCTTGTAACCATTATGTCATCCAACGCAATGCAACAACGTCCGCAATGGAGAGAACTTCGCAGCACCGATGCACTGCTACAAGTTTCCAACAGGACGAATCTCTGTTGTGCGCCGGGCCTGTTGCGGTGCTGTGGTCGGGTCGGCGGCGGGAGCCGGAGCAGACTTCTACTGGGCCATGCCTTGGGTGGGGCGCAGAGCTGCGCAGCTGTTGAAAATTGCTTGGAACTCTTGCCGAGTGCTGCCCCAGGGGCCGGCAGATTTCTAAACAGAATGTGGGCAAGTGGACAATCGATGCTCTGCCTCTAAATTGGCCGAAGGGAGCTTTCCAAACTTTGCGAGGCATTAAGGCGGAGTCTGCCTGCTGCAGGGAGCCGATGCAGGTGCAAGAGATTTGTCAGAGAATGTGAGCATTGTGACCCTTAGGATACCCTTAGGCTTGAATGAAGTGCAGAGGCTTTGCAAAGGCTTTCAACAAGTACAGCACGGCAAGTTCCGTGCAGATGCAGCGGCAGCTCCAAGCTCCTGGCAGGGTGTGCCGGTCTATCTGGATGGGCAGTGCGTGGGCCAGAGTGACAAAGATGGACTCGTGGCCGGCCTGCCGCATTTCCACTTGGGGCAATCAGAGCTACTCTCAAAGCTGCGCGGCAGAGATGTCTAACCATTCATGTGTATCTGCATCTCTGATTGCCAGGAAGTCTTTGTCAAGCCTGGCCGCCGCATGTTCTTGCCTCAGCCGAGCCATTGGAGCTGTGGAATGAAGCCGCTGAGGAGGCATTGTGCCAAAGGTCCGCACCTTTTCGCACCATCCAAAAGGCAAGTATACCGCCAACCTTGACTTCCTTCAAAAGTACTTCCAGTCCTACCCAGGTCCGACAAGGTGAATCGAGGTCCCAACTCGGAACTTCAGGCTCCAGTCGCCAAGCGCGGGCGCGGAAGCTGCCGAGTTGAAGCTGACCGGTGAAGGCCCACGGGTTCCACAGTCTCCAATGTCGCTCTGATAGGTTCGAAGGACTTGTTGGGCATTGGCTTGATCTATAGGTCTTTGCTGAATCGCAGTTGCAAGGATAAGATTCCATGGGCCGTGCCCGGTTGAGGTGAACACGTGCTGCTTTGCGTTGGCCGTGTCTTCCTTTTTCTGCAGGCCCGTCCGTGAATAGGAGCAGCAGCATCAGAGACATCATGGGGCACCCTGCATTGCGGCCAGTTGGAATCCTTTGCTTAGCTGTATTGTCGGATCACGAACCTCACGATTCCCTTGTTCATTCGCCTCATTGGCTTTGCTGTATGCAATTGAAGGCTGAAGGCTCACCTCCAGAATGGAAATTGAAGCATGGGGCCGAGAGTGGTCAACATTTCCTGAAACCAGCACAGAGTCGAGCCAGGTAAGGAGGAGAATTGTTTCTTGCTGTCCAGCCGTGGCACAGTCTTCATGCCTGCTGCCTGCGGCCTCTGTAAGTTTGAGCGGGAGTCCGTCCCAGGGCGCATTCACTACTAAGGATGACCACCGACTTGAGGCAGATTCCGGAGGTCGGACAGTCACACCGTCTTGGTAAGAACATGCTAAACGCACATGACCGCCGCTTCAAGTGGACCTGGCTACTCCCGGTCTGCCAAGATGCAAAGCTCCAAAGCCAGGATGCCACCGACTTCCGGGGCAAAGTCTGCTTCGACGAGGGTCTTCCTTCACAGGCATCGTCGCAGCAGGTTGTCCAAAGAGGCTTTCGGATGGATGATGCGGAACGGGACCTTCAACGGGATTCTCTTGGGGTGGGCGCTTCAGGGAAGCTTGGCGGGATTCTTTGCGGCTTCTTTGGGGATTTCATGGACGGGACGAAATGCACGCACAACGTTTTTTTAAAAGGTCTTAAAGGGGGCCCTTAGTAGCTAGAGGGAGTGAGCCCACACGTAATGTGTAATTGTGGGGGCAGAAGTCCTTTAAGTACGCACCACATGAGTGTACATGGCGCTCTGTAATTCTTTTATTGCGCCGTGAATGTAGTAATGATTGCAAAAGAACCCAGTAACTCTACGTATTTAACGGGTTCTTTGTGGGTTCACTTAGTTGACGCATATTTGTAGAAAATTGCGGCGTGATTGAAAAGAACTAAATTGCACGCCTGAACGAACAAAATGATAGAATCTAACAACTCCACACCGAGGTGTGAATAAGAAGACAACCAGAAGCCTAGTCCCATCTCCCTAAGCCTTTCGCCACCCCCCCCCCCCCCCCCCCCAACCTCTGTCCGGTACCAGGACATCCGCTCCTGCTTCCATCCGCTCGTCGTGCCGGGCGGACAGCCGTGCCATCGACTTGGACTTGGGGGGGTTTTGCCCAAAGCTGTTTGCTGCGAGAGTTACCCAAAGCCCCAAGCATGAGCATCCCAAACCAGCATGGCCCGGTCGAGGCAGCAGGCTTTTCCAGTCACTGCGGCCAGAGGCACTCAGTGGTGCGCTGGGGCCTCAGAAGCAGCAGCTCAGTGAATGTTAAGTTCGCATGCGGGGGGTTCTTTAAGCGTGACAGGCAGAGACAGGGAGAAACCTGATTGCAAAGTGGAGCTACGGCACTAGGTCAGTACATTGCGAAGAACTCATCGTCAACGCTCCATGAGTCAGCCAGCCCCGCAGTTTTCTGAGGAAGTGTGGATAAGATTTGACAGGTAATGACAGGTATTACAACGCGCCACAAAGTGCTAAAGCTTGCAAAGAGGTTGGCAGAATGCCTGGGACCCTGGGAGCTATTTTGGGAAGCTGTTCTCTCTCAATACAGTTCCGGCGGGTTTGGCGGTCAGACCGTCGGAGGATGGTCTAACGGAGGATGGTCCAAGAATGGTTCTTGGAGGCACTGAGCCCTCCCTTAGCTCCGGATCCAAGGGCTGTTCGATCGCCCAAAGCCAAACACTCAAGCCCTCAAAAAGTTCTCCCCTGGAGCCGGACCCTCACACACGTAAGTTATATTTCTGAGTCCTGACCCAAGCTCCTTGCAGCGGACAGGAGCTTCGACCCAAGCAAGGAGGGGCTTGAGCGGCTTGCCGACGAGGAGTGCGCGTGCAAGGCTGGGAGGGTGGGAGGGTCTTTGCGGGTCGCTTTTGTAGGTTTTCCGCAACAGCCGCAGCATGACTACCTTGGTCTTTTGGTCTCTTGTGTGTCACTAAAAAGACTAATCTTCAGGCCCTGGGAGGGTCCGGGTTGTGGTAGAAGGTCGGGCTTCACACTCAAGAGAGGTTGAAATTCGACGCTTTAAATTTGAATGTAACCCTCTCCGGTTCCAACTCGATCCCTTTCGTGCCCTAGTCGGTGGTGATATTGGATTCGAGTTTAATCTTTGTTGGGATTGAGGGACTTAAGCTCGGAGTTAAAGCCCGTTGCCAGTACAAGGTTTTAGTTCTGATTTAGGCTAGGGCATGCCACTCTCGGTTTTTACTCGAACTGAAACGGTCTCAGGTTGTCGTCATGTCCAGGTTTACAGATTTACGAAAGCCTTCAGGTGTAGTATTCAGACTCTAGGGTTCAAGGACTTTTGGCGCTTCCACTTTGGCGCCTTGGGGCACACGGGTTGGGGGGGGGGGGGGGGGGGGGTGGTGAGGATTTCAGGTAGGAAGTGCGGCTTCCGGCTCCCTACCTGAAGCAGCAAGGAGTTGTGCACAAGTTGGATAGAAGGACCGAAGCCCGAGGCTCCACCACCTTCACAGGCCCCAAACTTTCTACCCGAACAACCCGCTTGCACAGACTCTTAGACTGTAGACCCTTGAGCCCTGCGGCCCTTAGACCCTAGTTCGACCCGTACACCCTGACACCCTTGGCCCTATAGACCCTAGGACCATTCCGCATTTGCTGAAGGTAGAAATTCAAATTTGAGCACTCGGTTTTGTGCAGCTCTGGCGAAAGTGTATGTCTTTTTGTTGTTGTTGTTGGTGGTGATGTTGTTGTGGTTGTGCTTGTGTTTGTGTTTGTGTTTGTGCTTGTGCTTGTTCTTATGCCTGTGCTTGTGCCTGTGCCCGTGCCCGTGCCCGTGCCTGTGCCTGTGGCTGTGGCTGTGGTTGTGGTCGTGTGCTCTCCAGGCTGTTGAGATGTTGTTGCCTCAGTCTGACAGTGCAAGCCGCTATGAGACCTTCGCGCAGGTGAGCGATCTCGTTGGGACAGCCCCTCTGAGCCAGAACCTCAAAGCCAGCGTGCGGTAAGAGTCGATCGTGGTCGGGCAGCCTATCATCGTGAGGGCCAGCGAAGATGGACAAGCTTCGGGTGTTCTGCTTTTGGCAGGTCTGGGCACCTTCTTGGACACAGTCGACAGCCTGGCGAAAGGCCTGGGCGAACTGCAGCGAGGTTTCTTGTTTGCCTTTGTTTGGCTTGGGGGCTCTTCGTAAATTCAACAGTGAAAGTGGATCCGCTTGCTCATAACCAGGCACGGTGCAGCCTCCACGGCCCAGAAAGGTGGCGCCGGGATGGGGTCAGAGGAAATTGCGCTACGTTGCTCAAGGCTCTTGGGCAGTCTGGTGGGGTCATATGTTTAACACCAGACCCAGCACTGTTAAACTGGCGTTCGCCACTCAGATGTTGTGGCCTGTCTAAGTGCATGTCTCTTGGCAAATCCTTCTCCAACCTGCGAAAACACTGGGACCGTCCATCTACATCCTGTCCAGATGGCCGACTTTGCCTTTGCACCGCAAAGACGCAAACTCGGCATCGCGCGGCGAGCCTGAATTCCCGGGATCGCTCACAGCATCGGCGGCTTCTGTTGCAGGGCCGTACAGGGTTCAGTCATGGGGCGAACCACAGCAAACGACTCGTAGCAGCACTGGCGCCTTTTGTGGCTCCACTGGTCCATGCCCAAGGTGAGACATATTCAGACATATTTAATCACGTTCTGCAGTATTGCCCCCACATCATGGCAGTCCTTTTGGAGTCAATTGAAATTGAACAGAGGCCTGGTAGAGCGACATAAAGGCAGCAGCAGGCTGCATCAAATGGTGGTCAAAGATCATACCACCTGTAGATTTCGTCTATGCCGGCATTCCACGCGCAATTAGTTGCTGCTTCTCCCGACGCACTGCTTACTGCCAAGATTGCAGTGACATCCGGCACTTGGATCGGTCTCCCTAAGGGATGCGTTGCACATTCTCTGCCCCTGCTTGTTGTTGCAGCCATGATGCAAGTTATGAAGCCATGAAGCCATGAAGCCATGAAGCCATGAAAGCAACCTCCCTGCCCGATTCAACTCGGTCAGTGTCAGTATGCAGCAAAACCCAGCAACGGCCCATCTCCCTGCACCAGCCCACACCTCTGTGACCCATAAAAAGCCACACTCCGCAACACGCATTAATGTGCTGGGTGCCATGAACACCAATGCCAAGCGCAAGCGAGAAACGCCGGGAGCTTTCAGTGGTGGCA